AGGTGGATTTCTTTCAAGAGTTATATTCCAAGATGTGGATTGTCGATAGTAGCAAAATTCTTATGACAGATTTTTACGAAGCATTGGCAACTTTTCCCAAAAATGGATTTTTGCAAATTTTCCGAGATACAGATTGTCGCTTCATCGTGGCAACATTTCAAGGGATGGATTGTTACGAAGAAATGACCACTTACCCTAAATTGGATTGTCATACATCCTACAAGAGTTGTGTTGGAAACTATCCCCGAAGAAAAGAGGATTGTCATCACAGCAAAAGCACTGACTTATTGGTTCACAAGCAGCAAAAAGCGCTGACGCACAGGAATAGCAAAAGCAAAGGATCGACAGGAGTTGGTCTTCGGTGATACTCTTTAGGGTATTGTCGCAAAAATGAGGATAGTTTCAGCAGAAGCAATCTTCGATCGTGTCCCCTGGCTTGCGGAAGATGGTCACAAAGCGCTAGAATGTAGTTTCAGGCGAAGCAATCTTCAATGGGGTTCTCTAGCTTATAGAAGACTATCATGGTGGAATGGGAGGCAGTTACGGGCGTAGCAGTCTTCAGGCGGTATTCTCTAGCTTACAGAAGATCGTAAAAAACAAACAGCAGGATGGCATTCCCTAGCTTGCGGAAGGTTGTCACAAACAACAGCAAACGCAGCAACAAATTGGTTACCTCAAGAGACGTGTGCTCGACGGTGCAAAATACGCGTTTCTTAACTCTCTTATATATTTAACTAACGCTAGTTTGCAGGTTTCGGCGTCCCAAGGATGATTTAGGATCGCAGAACGTTTTGAATAATTCTCCGTCCCTAATACTTTGACTTTTGTTAGCAAAACTTGTGTTTCTCCAAACTCAGTCAAATTGGGGGCTTCTGTAGATACCCATTTGTGTATCCCCAAAACCAAATCAAGTGATGAGTACTTTTCTCGTTGAATCACAATCGAATGAAGTGAAAGTGTGGAAAGTCTAGTGTTGCGGTTAGTTTTTATTTCTTTTCTTTCTCTCTGTTTTTGAAAAACTATTTTAAGAAAATATCCAATCCAGTTTGGTTTGGTCCATACCAAGAGTCCCATAATAGTGTATTTTGGTCGGGTTCAAAAAGTTCTTTCCAACGATATATTATAAGCCCAATTCAGATGAATAATGAGGAAGTTATGGCCAGATTACTAAACTGGACCCGATTTAATATTTATATGCGTCCCAATGATCTACATGACAGCTTAATATTTATTTATCATTTCTAATGAAATTAGAATTGATTATAGTCTTCTAGATTATTCTAAAAGGTTCTTTTCATTCCTAATTTAATTAACATTGATAAATTGACTTTAGTTGACTTTTTAGAGTTTTAATCAGAATAAAAGAAGTGTTTTTAAGGAAAATATGATTTTTCCCTCTCATACGGCTAAATTTTATCAAATTAAGAAAACAGGTGGAAATTTATCTCCAGCAGGAGCAGCGCCTAGCGCCATACCTGGCGTCTGGCGCTAGAGTCAAGCGTTTGGCGATGTGATTGTGTTTTATTATTTTCGAAACTCTAATTCGTATTTTATTCTCATTCTGCTAATTTTCGCTATAAATAACCTCCTAAAACCTCTGTTCTCAATCATCAATTTCCATCATCAACAACTATCAATTCTTCTCATTAATTCTTATGAATTCTCTCTAATCTCTTCTCATCAATTATCACCAACTCTCATCAAGAATCTCTTTGTTACTCTCTCTCTCTCTCTCTCTCTTTTCTAAACTAGCCTTTTGCATACAAAATTTCGCATTCAAAAGATCTAGAAACACCTAGCCAAGTTAGAATTTGCCTTCGCCCTTGACGTGTAAGGTTTTAATTTCAGAGGGTTTGGTCCCATATCTAGTCTAAACTTTCTTAAATCTCTATTTCAATTATTTAATTTAATTCTTTAATTTAATATTTTCCTTGAAGTTACTAACGTGTGTATTCTATTATTAGAAATGGGTACGAGGCATCCAAGTAAGTGCTTTAAATGATTTATTGTTATTATGATATAGAAATCATGTCTAGGTTATTGTTATGATTCCTAGTGTCATGTTAGGGCGTTTTGATCTTCCTAATATCATGTTTAGGGTAATAACTATAATTTCTAATATCAAATATGACAATTGTAATTCCTGCGATGCTTTCTATTCTCATCCTAATATTCATGTTAGTATCATGTTAGGGCTATATATTTGATCTTTGATATTTAGTGACATGCTAGGGTTTGTTATTAATATTGTTAGTATCATGCCTAGGTTCTTGCTATTATTATGCTTTAACATGAATATTATGATTATATTGTTATGATTGTGATTATAATTATTATTATTGTTATTATTATTATTATGTTTCTTGATATATATTTATTGCTTGATCATGCCTTTTATGGATGTTTAAAGGGAATTGGTACTTGTAATTACACTTAACAAGATAATTAATAATCTTGTTTTAGGTTAATATGATTATAATCCAAGTGATCGGCATTACTAGTTTTGTTTCTGCATTAATATTCAACCAACATAGATAAACAGGTTTAGGGTTAACCTATTGATTGCATGTTAGTCATAAAGCACACATGAATACGATCAGAATAAAGTAGAGGCCTATTGTTAGGGCAGGTTCAATCTCTTTTAGGCTGGATTTGTACTTTCATCCCCGAACTACCAGTCATGGTTCCAGACCTATTGGAGTTGACGATCTCCTGGATCGTTAAAGGGTGTAACCACCTATGAACGGTTTACAAGTTCCTAAAACTTGTTGGCGACTCTTTTGCTCTAGCTTCTTTCCCTTTTGTCGCCACCATGCTTTAGTGTATGATCACAATGAGGTTCATGCTTGAAATATTCCCTACAGTGCCCCTTCGGGCTAATGAGACCCTTGGATGGGTGAAGATGTCCCTAGCGCCTCTTAGGGGTAATGAGCCCCTTTGATGAGCTATGATGTGTCTCACGCCCCTTAAGGCTAATGAGCCCTTTGGATGGGCTATGATGTGTCTAACTCCCCTTAGGGCTAATGAGCCCCTTGAATGGGCGATAATGTATCGTACACCCCTTAGGGTTAATGTGCCCCTAGGATGGGCGATGATGTGTATGACACCTCTTAGGGTTAATTAGCCCCTTCTTGATAGACGATCATGGAAATCTTTGATACATTCGGCCCACCAAAATTGCGAAAAAAAGCCTCTAGCAAGGTGAAAATGCCATTTTACTAATTACGGTCTCAATTTTAGGCATGTCTTGGAATGGTACGCGCTCGGATCACCCTATAATGAGCCCCCAACATGGACGATGATATAATTGACGCTTTATACGAGCCTCCTTGGTGACAAGTGTCTCTGAAGAAACGTGTAGACTTATGTATTTGAAGCAACATCAATGAAGAAACAAATTTTATGGCTAACTTATGTATACTTGTATTTATTGTTATGTTTAACGCCCTTTGAGGGGGAGAGATATGTTTAGTGCCACATTAGGCTAATTAGCCCCTTAAATGGGCGATGATGTGTCTCACGCCCTTTAGGGCTAATGATCACCTTGGATGGGCGATAATGTATCTGACGCCCCTTAGGGCTAATGAGCCCCTTGGATGGGCGATGATGTGACTAACACTCCTTAGGGCTAATGAGCCCCTTGAATGGGTGATGATGTGTCAACACCCCTTAGGGTTAATGAGCCCCTTATAGATAGGTGATCATGGAAAACTTTAATGCATTCGGCCCATCAAAATTGCGAAAAAGGCCTCTAGCATGGTAAAAATGCCATTTTTCGGATTACGGTCTCATTTTTAAGCTTGTCTTGGAACTATACGTGAATGGATCACCATATAATGAGCCCCTAGGATGGGCGATGATATAATTGGCACTTTATAAGAGCCTCCAAGGTGATAAGTGTCTGTGTAGAAACATGTAGAATTGTTATGGCTTACTTATGTTTACTAGTATTTATTGTTATATTTAACGCCCTTTAGGGCGGCCGAGCCCCTTAGGGGGGGCGATAAATTTTTGGTGCCCTTTTGGGCTAATGAGTCCCTTGGATGGGCAATGATGTGCCTGATGCCCCTTACGGCTAATGATCCCCTTGGATGGGCGATGATGTGTCTGACTCCTCTTAGTGCTAATGAGCCCCTTGGAACGGCGATGATGTATCATACATCCCTTAGGGTTAATGAGCCCTCTCTAGTTAGGGGATCATGGAAATTTTAGATGCATTCGGCCCACTAAAATTGCGAAAAAAGGCCTCTAGCATGGTAAAAATGCCATTTTTCTAATTACGATCTCATTTTTAGGCATGTCTAGGAACGGTACGTGCTCAGATCACCCCATAATGAGCCCCTAGGATGGGCGATGATGAGCCTGACGCCCGTTAGGGCTAATGAGCCCCTTGGATGGGCGACGATATAATTGACGCTTTCTAAGAGCCTCCAGGGTGACAAGTTTCTCTTACACTACTACAAAAAGCGTGTTTTCTGAACGCTTTTTAGGCCTTTTTTCGACGCTAAAAAGCGTCGAAAAATTATTTCTCGACGCTGCAAAAAAGCGTCGAAAATCCGTGAGTCGAAAATTTTTCAGGGACACAAAAAAGCATCGAGATTCTCGACGTTTTTTAGTGTCCAAACTAATATACGAAGCGTCGAAAATTACGTATTTCGCGCATTATCCCAAATGTAGTTTTTTAGCGACGCTTTTTCCTGTCCACATAATCAAATTTAGCGACGCTTTTTGTTGTCTTGCGTTTATTCGTGTCAGCCTATGGTATGGCGGGAAAGTCTTTGAAATTTGAAAATGTGCAATTATGTAGACATTAAAAAGCGTCTAATTTTTTTTTTTAAGATTTTTTTTTCTTTTATTAAATTATTATCATCATACATACATTATAATTATTTAAATTTATCATAAATTAAATTAAATTAATAACATTAAAATAAAAATAAACAAATATTCTATATAACTAGATTAAAAAAAACAATAATTAATCAACAATAATAAGAGTACGTAGTTAATTACCAAATTTATAAAAGAAAACATCAACACAGTACAATCATTAAAAAAAAAAGTCGCATATTATAGTATGTAGCTTGTCTCTAAATAAATACATCACTAATATAAGACTAAAAACCAAAATAGATAGATGATGGCCACATTAATCGATATAGTCGCTTGTTGATGCTCAAGTGTCCCGGCCTATTCTTTTGTTGCACCTACATTGCCTTTTCCAATCTTCAAAAAAAAAAAATACAAAGTATAAATTAGTACATTACACAATATAGGCTCAAGATTCAACATGTTGTATTTAAACATAGAATTGTGAGTTAAACATAAAAATATAAATAACTAAAAAAGCCAAAAGGTCTTTCATCAAGAGTTCTTGACTAGATCAATATTGCGGACAAATCCAAAGCTTAACTGAACGAATCATGGATCAAGTAATAAAAAAGCTGGCACGGAATTCTATAAGCAGTACCTTCAGTTACATCCAGCAGTATACAAAACAGTAATTGTCAACACATATTGTTAAAGAAACAATGGATCTAATTTACAAAGACAATACACGAAAACAAGCAGAATAGCCCCATATACTCAATACTACTTTGCTATCCATATAAGTTTAAGGTTTCTGATGTTAATTCTTGCTTTGTTCAGAGAGGTTTAAGCTGACTATGCCTGTCTACTGTCTCACTGTTATTTCTACCTTAAGTTTAAGCTGCATGGTCAGTGCCCTGGTAGCATTAGTATGGAGCTTTAGTGGAAGTAATTGTATGAAGTTGAGACCATTTTATGTTGCTTGTCAATCCTAGGTGCTAGGTTTGCATAAACTTATTTAGTTATGGAGCTGACATCCATGCTGAAATCCTTGCAGATTGAAAATGCTCCATCAGAAAGCCATTTACAAAGCAAACGGATGGCTGATGGATCCAAGAGAGTTAGAGTTCCTCGCATTCTCAGCCAGCAGGTAATTCTTACATTATATTATAGAAAATACAAAGTTATTCATGGTTTTTATGCTTCTACTACTGGTGCTTAATTCTTTTCTAGTCACCATTGTTTATCTTGGGTGAGCTAACTCACTAAACTAATTTAAAGTGAAACCAAAAATTGCATATTTCTTTTCCTTTGTCAAGCTGTCATGGACTTCAAATGTTCTCCAATACACATCTAGTCTTTGTTTTCTAAACTATTTGCTTCTATCCTTGCCTCAGCACAAGCAGCTTATTTAGGTTGTAACTTTATCCAAAGCTTAGGCAGGGGGGCAGGGCAGACAAGCAGTATAAAAGCAGCAGGGGAGCAGGACAAGCAGTAGCAGGGGAGCATGGCACACACACACACACACACACACACACACACACCACAAGCAAGCAAGCACTCACACAAGCTCTGACTTTCACACATACACACACACACACACACACACACACAAGCATTTTAGGATTGAAGTTGGGATTTCAAGTCTGATTTCCAGTTCTGAACTTCAAACCTGAATTCAGTTCTAGATTTCAGCTCTGAGTCAAATCTGATATTCAGTTCTGAAATTCAGATCTGAATTCAGTTCCGGATTTCAGCTCTGATTTCAGTTATAAAGAGAAATATGACTTTGTTACCTGATGTTTTGCCTTTCCTAAGAATTTAGATGCTTTGTTTAGAAGACCCGGAGATGCATTCCCTTGACGAATTGCACCTACAATTTGAGAAAATTGTCCAACAAGCGCTTTAAGAAGAAGATTGTTGTGTCCGACCTCGTCTTTCAGCTTTTCATTTTCTTGAGATAGTGTATCATTTTTTTTGTGCAAAGCATTCACTTCTTCTTTAACACTATCCATCATAATAGTCCTCTTTTGAAATTTTCCATAGCCTTCCTTCCTTAACACACCACGTACTCCGAAAATGTCCCCCTTTTTAACCCCTAGTCCGTAGCTGAAGTTTTCACAGCACCTGTTTCACGATTTCGAATTCCTCGTGTAGCAGGTTTTGGGCGCTCAGGAGGTTTGTGAGAAGTAGAAGGGGAGTTCAATGAGTCTGGTGCAATTGAATGTGGAATATTAGGTGGGATATTAGGTGGGACTAAAGATGAAACTTCTGGTGGGTATTTTTTTTTGCTGACCTTGCGTAACTGCTTCCTTAACTGAATTTAATGTTGAACCAGGAGGGGTTTTCCAAATGGATCCTAAATTATTAGTTGGTGGGTGGTCACATTTTGTAGTGGAAATGGGTGGAGAAAAAGGTCCCCATTTGTCATCCCTAAGAACCTCAGTTTGTGGTGACTTTCTAGCTTGTTTTTTGGTGGGTTGTGAAGCTTTAGCAGCAGAAGAAGTATGTGCATTAGAGATAATTGGTGACTGTGATGATACTAGATCATGTGACTTGGCTGTGGCAGCAAGTATGTCCCTTGCTCTCTTGCTTCGGTACATCATACTTTACCTGATAAATTCGCAAAATAAGTTATTAAAAAGAACATAAATAAAAAATTATCATAAGAGTGACAATAAGATTAATCATCAGAAGATTCAAAACCAAATTAAGAAACCATGAAATAAGAAAAATAAATTAGCAACATAGTAGAGTTGAAATAAGAAACAAGTATTGAATATAGTAAGCACAGTTAAGAAGCCCAACAGTGAGTTAAATGCATAAAAGCCTCTTTAAGAAACAAGAACAACAACACTTATTCTTAGGAATCCAGAAAGCACAAAAGAAGCAATCATCTTCAGCCAAAGGTTCCAACTAGTCACTGCAATCAAGTTTTCTAGCACTTCTAGGCTTCTAGAACACACCATAATCCATATGTTTAATATAAGCACCAGCAAGTATATATAAAATGCATGAAGACAGGTAAACACATCAAGAAAGATTAACAAAGTTTGCCCACACATTTTATAGTCATCATCCTTTGTTAGAAAAATAAATGTTATTGAAACTTCACATGAAATGATACATTAAGTGGGCAATATGTTCTAACAGAGAAGCAGATAAAAAAAAAATTTAGAAAAAATCTACAAAATAACCCAACACTGTAGCCAATGAATTTTGCAAATACACACACACAAGCTGCAATTCAGTTCTGATGTTCAGGGCTGAATTCAAAATTGAATTCCAAAACTGAATTCAGATTTGAATTTCAGTTCTGATTTCAGTTCTAGAATTCATTTATGATGTTCAGAGCTGAAATCAAAACTGAAATCCAGAACTAAATTCAGATTTGAATTTCAGTTCTGATTTCAGTTCTAGAATTCATTTCTGATGTTCAGAGCTGAAATCAAAACTGAAATCCAGAACTGAATTCAAATTTGAATTTCAGTTCTAATTTCAGTTATAGAATTTAATTAACAGAAACAAAAATTAAGTTGACAAAATACAAACTTTGATGAATTAGAATAACTAAATGAAATATAAAAATACACACCCATCCAAATTTATGAACTCAAATCTATAATAAATTATAAAAGTTGTAACAAATTATTCAGGTATATCAAGCAAGTCCCTAGGCTTAGTTTTCACAACATGACACCACCCTTTTTGTATCTCATCCTCAATATAAAAAACTTGTTTTGCTTGAGATGAGAAAACAAATGGATCATCACGCAAAAATCGACCAGTGTGCATCAACTTTGAGAAATTGATACGAACACTTCCATTCGGATTTGTTTTGATACCCCTACGAATATCGACCCAGTCACAACGGAACAATAAAACCTTATAAGAACCATAATAATCTAATTCCAAAATTTCTTTGAGTTTTCCATAATATTCGTGACCCTCTGCTTCCACCATGATTCCTGAATTCTGAGTTACTCGAAATCGCTCACGATCCACAATATCAAATTTGTAACCATTGATAATAACACTTTTCATCCTTTTCCCGCGGTTACTCAAGCCACCGACTAAGGCTTTTCTTAACTTTCCATCTACCGTGCTATCATCTAAATTATGGACCTATAATTCGAGAATAATAATGTTAGAATTAGAAAGTTGTATAATATGAAAATAAAAAGACCCTAAATGTAAAAGCATATGACCTGGCTTTGCAACCAATCTGCAAATTCATCAATTATCCACTGATTTTCAATAGATTCATCAGCTTGACTTCCTCCAACGTCATTATCTTGCCTCTTTAGTTTTAGGAACTCACTATCGAGATTGTAAATTTTATGTTAGTAACAAGTATATATTGGATGCTTTAACTAAACACATAATGCTACTTACTTAAGCACCGGGGTTAGTTCATCAAAATGAAGTAAAACATAGCGATGAGCTTGCTTTAAACTTCTGTCATCCAAACGGACATTTTCTTTTTTTCCAACAACACGACCACCAGAGTTATACAAATAGTTGTCAGTGTATGATACACCATCCTCATTCCTTCTAAGTCTATTGAACATAGTCTCAACACTTTCTAAATATCTCGAACAAAATGCAATTGTCTCCCACAAAAGGTAACCTTCCGCTATAGATCCTTCCTGTTGCGCTTTATTGCTTACATGAGATTTCAAAAAGGCCAAGTACCTTGAATTATAGTAACGATTTTGTATGTGAATGTGAAAGAATAGGAAAAATTATTATATAAAAATAAATAATATAAATAAAAAGAATAATAATAATAATAATAATAATAATAATAGTAATAATAGTAATAATAATAATAAGTACCTTTCAATAGGATACATCCATCTATAATGAACCGGTCCGCCTAGTCTGACCTATTCTACTAAATGAATTAGTAGATGAACCATGATTGTAAAAAATGTTGGTAAAAATTCTTTTTACAAACTTGCAAAGAGTCAACACGAGCTTTGATTGAATGGTATCTAATTCTCTTGTATCTATAGCAGTTGAACATATCTTTTTAAAAAAGTCAGACAACTCCTCAAGCAAGTCAATAACTCTTGTGGCATTCGACGCCCTTAAAGCAACCGGGAGGATATCTTGCATGAGAATATGATGGTCGTGACTTTTCATATTAATAAGTTTCCGTTGCTTTAGATTCACACATCTTTGTAAATTAGATCCATATCCATCAGGAACTTTCATCTTTTTCAAGACTTTCAAAAATCGTTCTTTCTCCTCGTTAGACATGGTGTATGCAGCCGGCGGGATGTAACCTTGACATAGATGAGGTTTTATATTCAAATTCTTTAGGGCTTCTCTGCTACTCTCATCATCCCTACTATTATCCATATCTAAAAGAGTTCCTAATAAAATATCAGACACATTTTTTTCAATGTGCATAACAACTAAATTATGTCTAAGAGGATTATGCTCCCAATACTCTAATTCAAAAAATGTACTTTTCTTTTTCCAAAGAATAAGATCACCATTGGGATCGCAATCATCATCAAGTTCATTGGTAGCTTTTTTCCCTCTTTTTTTAAGAACTTTTTTTGTCTTCCTATATACATACTTTACCCCTTCTTGTTGCTTCAAAACTTCGGTCCCGCTGGTACGAATCGAAGCAATACCATATTCTTCTTTCCCATCAAACAAATTAGCTTGTGAACAATATGGGTGATCAATAGGCAACCATTTTCGATACCCAGTGTAGATAACTTTGCCACCAAATCTATCTGAATGAGCAGAATGAGTGCAAGAAGGACAAGCTTTGTAGCCTTTCGTACTCCAACCTGACAACATAACATAAGCCGAAAAGTCATTAATAGTAGAGTGTAGGGTTGCTCACAGTTTGAAGTTGCTTCCACTATAAGAATCAAAAGCATCAACACCTTCCCACAATAATTTCAATTCATGGATTAGTGGTTGCAAGCACACATCAATATCCATACCGGGACCAAATTTACCAGGAATAATTATAGAAAGAATAAAGGATGATGGTTTCATACAAAGCCATGGTGGTAAATTACAAGGAATGAGGACCACCGGCCATGTGCTATAATTTGTGTTCATAAGACGATATGGATTAAAACCATCACTCGCTAGGCCTAATCTAACACTGCGAGGATCAGCGGCAAACTCTATATATTTTTCATCAAATTTTTTCTAGGCCTCGCCATCAGCAGGGTGTCATATAATCTTATCATCCTTACAATTAAAGTGCCATCTCATGTCCTCTGCAGTTTTAGATGACACGTAAAGCCTCTTTAATCTAGGGATAAGGGGAAAGTACCGCATTACTTTAGCTGCCTCGCCTTTCTTACATGCTTCTTTTCCTTTTTCATTTACATCACCCTCCTTTCCTTTCACATTTTTCCACCTTGATGTCTTGCACATATGACACTCACTTTTATTTGCGAATTGGCCCCAATATAACATGCAATCATTTGGACATGCATGGATTTTCTCATATCCTAACCCTAAATCATTTATTATCTTCATGCCTTCATAATAGACGATGGAAACTCCTGAATAATGGGAAATGCGTCAATTAGAAGTTCAAGTAATTTATTAAATGACTCTGCAGACCAATGGAACATACACTTTAGGTGAAACAAATCCAATAGAAATGAAAGTTTCGAAAAAGTAGTGCGGTACAGAATTCGTTTACTCCCTTCATCTTTACAACGAAATATCTAATTTCTATAGTTTTTATAAAAACCATAAAATAAAATATGGCCTCCAACTTAGATCATAGGTCTTACTCCCTTCATCTTTACAACGAAATATCCAATTTCTATAGTTTTTATAAAAACCATAAAATAAAATATGGCCTCCAACTTCTTCTACAGAATTCGTTTTATTTAACTTGCACTTATTACATGGGCATTTAGTTTCCCATGTATTTGGTATAAGAGTCTCTTTAGCAAGTTTCAAGAAGTTCATGCAACCTTTAAAATAACCAGGATCACCTCTTGGTAAATCAATCCAACTAGTATCCATTTCTACAAAGAAGTATATAATTAATTGCTAATTAAAAATAATGACATTAAAAAAAATCATGTTACAAGGATCCTTAAACCAATATATAATAAGGAAAGAAGAAAATTAGAAAAAAAAACATGCAACAACAAATAAAAAGTTATACAAATAGAGTCCAGAGTGAGTTTCTATCCTAGAATGATCCTATTTCCATGTCCGTCTCTTGCTGGGTCATGCTAGCACATGACTTCCTTCATTAGGATTGTGATACATTAAAGATTTCAATTTCAGGTTCTCTGATTCACTAAAATATGAGCTTTTATGACACGAAAGTCCCTGTTTATCACCATTATATTCATAATCACCAGCTTTAATAGAATATACAACATTAAACCATTGATATACATAGATTTTAATTTTATATGATGATATTCAATTACACAATTGATTTGTTTTAGTTCAAACAATATATTCTGTAATGATCCAACCACTTGTGGTCCTCACGTATGGCAGATAGAAGAAGAAACCAGGCACCAAGGCACTAATACAGCAGCAGGTCGTGAGTATTGGGCAAGGGAATGAGTAAGAAAACATAGGAAGACAAAATGCAACAATTCTGAAATTACTTAATACAATTGTCCACGGCCTTACATGTAGTGTCGTAGATAGTGAACAAAAAAAGGTAAGTCGAAGCATGAGGCTATTCAATACAACTAACTCACACACATCCATTTTGGTAATCTATCTTTGCTAGACAACACTAGGAGTCTACTAGGACTGCATATATAGACCAATTTTAAAATGTATAAAATTGAGACTTTCACGATGATGTACAATTGCATTTTCACTATCAATTACTCAATCATAACAAAATCAGACAAGATTATGAATATATCGATGTTTGATGCAATGAAAATTAGGCACAAAGGTATAAGCAATTATTTCTTACAGCGTAGAAAGGCTTGAAAGAGATTCAGAACTCTGAGGCAAGCTGCCAGATAGTTTATTGAATGAAAGATCCCTGCATCAATCAGCAATTTGAGCAATGATTACCAGAGTGACAGAATTAAGCAAAAAACAGGCAGCATCCATCTAATCTATATATAAGAGCATATAATCTTCATACATAACAAGAGTTCTAGGCTCAACAATAAGACTTGATTCATCAGCAGCAGGCCGTGAGTATTGGGGTTGTTGTCTAATGATTTATAAGGGAATGAGTATTGCTTCTAAGAGCAGAGCATGTAAAGACAGAATGTAATCATCAGCCACCAAATCACCATAGAAAAACAAGAAAATTTATATCAAAAACCCATAAAATTCATACCAAAAACCCATAAAATTCAAAGCCTATAAAATTCATATCAAAAACCCATAAAATTCAAAGCCTATAAAATTCATATCAAAAACCCAAAAAATCAAAGCCTATAATATTCATAGTCGAAAAATCCCAAACTAAAACCCTACAAAACGCCATCAAATTTATCACAAAAACCCATAAAAAAAACTTTTTTTAAAAAAAAATACAACAACAACAAGGAAATCTGAAATTTGAAAACAAAATTCACGAAGAAAAGAACAAAAAAAGAATTTAAATTATCTAATTAAGGGCAAAAAATTACCTTGCAATAAGATCGATTCTTGTTCTACTCCAATTGTAAATCGAACACATGCAAAGAATTATTTCTAAGTTTAACAAAAATTAACGAATTGTGAAAAATTAGGGTACCAAAAATTGTGAAGCAAATTGTGAATAATTACCTGAAATTTCTCCTAGTGAAAAGAAAAATCCCCTATATTAGCAAGAAACCCAGAATTTAACATAAAAAAGATGAATGTTGTAGCTTTGATTATGAGCAGAGACGCAGATCGAGTGAAGTAGATAGCAATGTTTATCAGTCGTATTTCAAAAGTTGGTGGTTTAATTGGGTATTTCCTTTTTTTTTTTCTTTTTTTTTTTTGAGTAAATAATTGGGAGTGATACAACTAACCCGCTTTTTTTCACAAAATTTTAAAATTGCGGGCAGTAGGGTGTGAGGGAGTCACGTGTTAGACTCGTGATTTTCTCAACGCTTTTATGTGTCGAAAAAAACCTTCGACACCAAAAAGCGTCGAGAAAAAGCGAAACTGAAAACTGTGCGCTGACGCCACATCCAAAGTGTCGAAGCAAAAGCGTCTAAAATATGCGTGTTTTGTAGTAGTGTTAAGAAACATGTAGACTTATGTATTTAAGGCAACATCAATGAAGAAACAAATTGTTATGGGTAACTTATGTATACTTATATTTTTTGATATGTTTGACGCCCTTTGGGGCGGCCGAGCCCCTTTGGGGCGGCCGAGCCCCTTTGAGGGGGCGATATATGTTTGGTGTCCTATCTGGCTAATGAGCCCCTTGGATGCTCGATGATATGTCGAACGCCCCTTTGGGCTAATGAGCCCCTTTGATGGGCGATGATGTATCTGATGCCCCTCAAGGCTAATGAGCCCCTTGGATGGGCGATGATGTGACTGACACTCCTTATGGCTAATGAGCCCCTTGGATGGGCGATGATGTGTCCTACACCTCTTAGTTTTAATGAACCCCTTCTAGATAGACAATCATAGAAAACTTTAATGCATTTTTCAGATTACGGTCTTATTTTTAAGCTTGTCTTGGAACGGTAAGTGCAAGATCACCCTTTCATGAGCCCCTAAGATGGTCGATGATATAATTGACGCTTTCTAAGAGCCTCCAGGTGACAAGTGTCTATGAAGAAACATGTAAACTTATGTATTTGAAACAACATGAATAAAGAAAAAAATTGTTATGGCTTACTTTTGTAGACTTGTATTTATTGATATGTTTAACACCTTTTTGGGCGGCCGATCCCCTTGAGGGGGGGGGATATATTTTTTGTGTTCCTTTTGGCTAATGAGCCCTTGGATGGGCAATGATGTGCCTGACGCCCCTTAGGGCTAATGAGCCCCTTGGATGGGCGATGATGTGTCTGCCTCCCCTTCTGGCTAATGAGCCCCTTGGAAGGGCGATGATGTATCTTACATCCCTTAGGGTTAATGAGCCCCTTCTAGGTAGGCGATCATGGAAATCTTTGGTGCATTCGGCCCACAGAAATTGCGAAAAAAGGCCTCTAGCATGGTGAAAATGCCATTTTTCTAATTACGGTCTCATTTTTAAGCATGTCTAGGAACGGTACGTGCTCGGACCACCACATAATAAGCCCCTAGGATGGGCGATGATAAGCCTGATGCCCCTTAGGGATAATGAGCCCCTTGGATGGGCGATGATGTGTCTCACGCCCCTTAGGGCTAATGAGCCCCTTGGATGGGCGATGAAGTGTCTCACGCCCCTTAGGGCTAATAAGCCCCTTGGATGGGCGATTATGTGACTAACACCCCTTAGGGCTAATGAGCCCCTTGAATGGGCGATGATGTGTCTAACACCCCTTAGGGTTAATGAGCCCATTCTAGATAGGCGATCATGGAAAACTTTAATGCATTCGTCCCACCGAAATTACGAAAAATGGCCTCTAGCATGGTGAAAATGCCATTTTTCAGATTACGGTCTCATTTTTAAGCTTGTCTTGGAACGGTACGTGCACGGATCACCATACAATGAGCCCCTAGGATGGGCGCTGATATAATTGGTGCTTTATAAGAGCCTCCAAGGTGATAAGTGTCTGTGAAAAACATGTAGGCATTTGTATTTGATGCAACATCAATGAAGAAACAAATTGTTATGGCTAATTTATGTATACTTTTATTTATTTTTATGTTTAACGCAATTTGGGCCGGCCGAGCCCCTTGGGGGGGGGCGATATATGTTTAGTGCACTTTCAGACTAATGAGACCCTTGGATAGGCGATGATGTGCTTGACGCCCCTTAGGGCTAATGGGCCCCTTGGATGAACGATGATGTGTATGACACCCCTTAGGGCTAATGACCCCCATGGATGGGCAATGTTGTGTCTAAGACCCCTTAGGGCTAATGAGCCCCTTGGATGGGCGATGATGTGTCTTACACCACTTGGGGTTCCTCTTGCATGGTTAAAATGCCATTTTTCTGAATACGGTCTCATTTTTAGTCATGTCTTGGAACAGTACGTGCTCGAATCACTCCATAATGAGCCCCTAGGATGGGCGATGATATAATTGACGCTTTCTAAGAGCGTCCTAGGTCACAAGTGTCTGTGAAGAAACATGTAGACTTATGTATTTGAAGCAACATCAATGAATAAACAATTTAATATGGAAAACTTATGTATACTTGTATTTATTGTTATGCTTGACGCCCTTTGGGGCGGCCGAGCCCCTTAGGGGGGCGATATATGTTAGGTGCCCCTTTGGGCTAATGAGCCTTTGTGATGGGCGATGATTTGCCTGATGTCCCTTAGTGCTAATGAGCCCCTTGCACTACTAGAAATAGGCTAAATAGCGACGGATTTGTTGCGACGAACCCCTTTTTCCGTCGCAAAGTTCACATTTTACGACGGAATTTGTTTCGTCGCAATTTAGCGATGGAAAAGTTGAGTTACGAGGCTGTATCCGTCGTAAAGTTTGCGACGGAAATAAATTCCGTCGTAAATTCCGACGGAATATTCCTTTGTTTTAATTCTAAGGAAGATCCTTGCTTGTCATTTCTCTACAATGTTCTCTAGGTACATATATAGGTGTTTCTAATCGCCTATATTGTGTACTCGGGGAACTGTAGGGAGATGCTGCCGGATTTTCCATAGAATTGAAATTCTGGCATACATTCACTAGTGAGATTGAACGTACAAGGATGGGTTAGGTTGGAGTGATAAGGACCCTTGGAAATCATTTCTCTTCTCATTTGCATTTCCATAACAGTTTGATCTATAATGAATATATATTGTGCTTTATGACTAATGTGATTAATGGCATATGTGTTAGTTCTGTAGAACTTGTAATCATGAAACGAAAAGAACGTAGCTGGATGTACAAAAGGAAGGTTGGGAATTCTATTAATCCTGAGTTCTTGAAGGGGGTAGATGAATTCCTTAAATATGTGGAAGATCATCCCAAGAGTAGCAACCCGAATGAAGTTAGGTGTCCATGTTTTAAATGCAAAAACAAACGTCTCTGGGATCCAGATACGGTCAAACTTCATTTGTATCGCAGCGGTTTTTTACCTAATTACTACGAGTGGACGTGTCATGGGGAAGGGTTTCCAGGAACTCGTAGAAGGGAGTCAAATGAATATCGTGAAATGGTTTTGGATGCCTTTGGTCAGTCTCAAGATCAAGGCCATTCCGAAGAGCCACTTGTTTCATTAGAGGAGGAGCCTAATGCACAAGCCAAGCCATTTTTTGATTTGTTAAGGGCTTCTGAACAACCGTTGTACGAAGGGAGTTCATTGTCTGTGTTAGAGATGGCTTCTAGAATCACTAGCCTGAAGTGTGAGTATAATTTGCCGCACAGATGTGTTGATGGATTTGCTTCTTTGTTTAATGAAGCGATTCCTAACAACAACCACATGGTCGAGACATTCTATGAGGTCAAGAAAATTGTTAAGGGGTTAGAGCTGCCCCATGAAAATATTCATGCATGCCCGAAAGGATGTATGTTGTTTTGGAAAGATGATGCTCAATTATCTACATGTAGGGTGTGTGGCAGCGACCGATACAAGAAGACTTCTAAAGGTAGCTTAGTGCCTTTGAATGTTCTGTTTTATTTCCCTATCACACCTAGGTTGCAAAGGCTTTTTGCAACTAAAAACATTTCTGAGGAAATGACATGGCATGCTAAACATCCTCGAGTTCAAGGCACAATGGCACACCCTAGCGATAGTGAAGCGTGGAAACACCTAGATAGTTGCTTTCCTGAGTTTGCCTCTGAACCTCGTAATGTTCGACTTGGCCTATGTACGGATGGATTTGCTCCACATGGTCAGTTTGGGGACAGTATTCATGTTGGCCTGTCATTTTGACCCCTTATAACTTGCCTCCGTCAATGTGTATGAAAAGACAGTTCATGTTTCTTTCGTTACTCGTTCCTGGTCCTAAAAACCCTAAGGGCAACTTGGATGTTTACATGCAGCCGCTCATACACGAGTTGAAACAGTTGTGGGAAGTTGGGGCAAATACTTACGATATTTCGAGAAAACAAAATTTCAATCTTCGAGCAGCCATCTTATGGACCAATAGTGACTTCCCGGCTTATGGTATGTTATCTGGTTGGACCACAGCCGGTAAGAAGGCTTATCCATATTGCATGGAGAAAAGCAAAGCATTTTGGCTCGAAAACTGTGGTAAGGTTTCTTGGTTTGACTGCCATCGTTAATTCCTTTCGACAGATCATCCTTTTCAAAATAGTAAAAATGCATTTTGTAAAAACAAAGTCAAAAAAGGTTCACCACCTCACATCATGTCAGGAGAGGAACTTTGGGAATGTGTGAAAAACCTCCCGAAAGCAACAGATGGCCCCGAGGCACTAAAACGTGTCAAGAATGCAAAAAAAGGGTGGTTCAAGCAAAGCACTCTATGGGACCTTCCATATTGGAAACATCTTCTTGTTCGTCACAACTTAGATGTCATGCACGTTGAAAAAATTTATTTTGATCAGTTGATTCACACTATAATGGACGTGAAAAAGCAATCTTGTGACACCCCATCAGCTCGGAATGACATTGCTAAATACTGTAAACGGCCCCAGCTACATCTTTAAGAGGATGATAGAGGAAAATAATTCATGCCAAAGGCTCCATTTGCTCTTGACAAGGCTCAGAGAAAGGTTTTGTGTGAGGGGGTCAAATAGCTGCGGTTTCCTGATGGTTACGCTTCCAATTTGAGCCGATGCGCTTGATTTGCAATCAGGTAAGTTACATGGAATGAAAAGTCATGATTGTCACGTGTTCATGGAGAGGTTGTTGCCCACTGCTTTGAGAGAATTGCTCCCTACCCATATATGGAATGCAATTACAGAGATAAGCCAATTCTTTCGCAATTTATGTTGCTACACAATTACAGTTAGCGACATGGAGCGATTGGAAAAACACATAGCTGAGATCATGTGCAAGCTTGAGAAGGTTTTTACCCCATCTTTCTTCAACTCCATGGAGCATTTACCAATTCATTTGCCATATGAGGGCAAGTTATGTGGACCTGTTCAATATCGGTGGATGTATCCTTTCTAAAGGTAAATCAAAGGTCCTTTCTCAACTCTTACTTTCATCTCTTCATTGATTTTCGTTACTTATACTTTTACGGCTACATAAACATAATTACAGGTTCCTCAATCACCTGAAACAAAAAATTGGTAATAAGGCTCGTGTTAAAGGTTCCATATGCAACGCTTATCTCACTGAAGAGATATCAAACTTATGTCCAATTACTTTCAGCCCTTAGTTGACACAAAAACACGAGATCTAGGTCGAAATGTGAATGCTGATGTGGAATCCCCGGCTGACAACGATGAAATCCCAGAGCTGTTCACGGTGGATAAGGGTCGTGTGTCAAATTTGGGTAAAACTCGGTATTTAGATGACAAGGAACTCGAACGTGCTCATTTGTTCGTTTTAAGAAATACCGGCATTCTTGGTGAATACGAAAGGTATACATGTTTACGATAAACTTTTGAAAATCCCTTAAATTTAATATAATTGCTGCAATGATTAACCATGTGTCATTAATCTATTAGGCAGTTTGAGGACCACATTCTTAGTACTCGAACTTATTTGCGTCGAGAAGATGTCATGGAGAAATGAGAAAGTGAATTCCCTGATTGGTTTCATCACAAGGTGATAATACCTTTCGAACATTGCATCTCGATTAATTTGTGATAATATAATATAATATATTTCATTTCAATTAGTGTGACGCTTGTATTCGTAACGGTTATAGGTGAGAGAACAAAAACCAAGTTCCGATGTGTTGCGAGCATTGTCTATGAGGCCTTTCAAGCGTGTTCGAACTTGGAACCAGATATTTGTCGGTGGCTTTAATTTCCACACACAGTCCTATGGCAAACACAAATCTACGATGAATTACGGGGTGTGTGTCTCAAGTGAGGACGGTGGAGAGTACTTTGGCATTTTAAACGACATAATTGAACTTGTCTACACCGGTCCCAAAAAAGAGTACAAGACTATTTTGTTTAGTTGTAGTTGGATGGATTGTGGTAAAGGAATGAACATTCATGAACAATACAAGC